ACACTTGGATCAGTGAGTTTTTCGGCGAGATATCTTAGTGTTCCCCGATGTCATCTGCTGTTTGAAGACCCCTATGATAGAGTCACTCCACTATATGCTGATCAAGTGTGTTTAGGCTCGCAGACTCTGTATCTTTTGCGGCATAAGCTCAAAGGATCATTGCGTAGCACCTCCTGCCCGAATAGTTTCCACTTCTGTCCTTTGACTCCGCTCAGAACGCCAGACATACCATACGCAGGGCATGTGTAAAACGTTAACAAGTGTTTAAAACTCCTTGGAAGAAGAACAGAGTTTCTGGGGAATTACCAAGAAAACCTTTTGAATTTCTTTGCCATGTACGAGTAGCCCAAACTTTGAACTTAAATGACCGCAAGGTCAGGTCATACCCTACTAAGAGCCAAGGGTTATTTTCGAAGAGCAATTCCCAAGCAGCTCCTTGTGCAATAAGAATAGAAAAGGCACAACTATCATTCCAAAATACTAAAGAGAAATTTTTGAATGCCTCCACTTCACCGTCGGCTTTATATGCCAGCTCTCTTGTAGCATATCCCGGGTTGCATGCTGTAGATGGTATGTGACGGCCCCACACACATTCTGATAACGAGGTATTGGTACATTCAGGTGAAGGGTGCGTAGAGGAGTCTTGATTGAAGCTGCTAGAAGGAACTTCTGTAGCTATATCGCTGGTAGTGTCTGGAAGTCGAACGTCATGGGGAACTTTAGTAAACTACTACGGGAAATGGCAGCATATTCCTGATCGAGGAATATGTCTAAATCCAAGCGGAAAAGTCGAACAAAGTTCATACTTCGAAATGCGGCACCTGTGGCTAGGACAAATACTTAGTGTAAAGTCGTGACATCTCCGATTGCAACGCTGCTTCGATGCTGGCCTAGTTAATATGTGTTGAACGTGGCTATGTGCAATGGAATTGAGATAGCCAGTTCAAAAATTTGAATAAGGGGCACAGCGAGTGCAGATATAAGTACAAATTGCCCTGTCGGACAGCGAAATTGGCTGCAAAAATTGCATTAGAAATTGACCAATCAAAAGCAGGTAAAACGCAGGGGTTACGCGCAAAATTCGCGTCCGACATTATATGATCCGCGAAATTTTGTGCTTGGCGGATGTCCATTTTGAAGAGTCTGAAATCCTGGTAGCCACCGTCGCAATTAAATAGTGAATAGTCAACCTTTTGAATTTCTCCGACTCTTTGCAGTGTGTAACAGTCAATGGTATGAGCTTCTACAGTACGAATTGTTGTATCAATCCCTGACATGATAAGTATCCGTGAAATCTCTGCTCGAGCTGTACCTTGCAATTTGGAGCTTGAAGCACACAAATGCTTCGGGCACTTGTCTGAAGATAAAATCTGGATCAAGTGATTCGCAATGGGCCTTAAAGGCGGTAAGTAGGTTTCATTTCGTATTCGAGGACCTAGCGTTGATTTTATTCTTGATGACGATGAATTTCTACGCGGTCTCTTTGCTGGCGGTTGTAGATAGGTATCACTACGCTGTGACTCGTTGAAACTGTATGTCCTGCGCCCTTGGCGTCGCTCAAGACCGCGACCTTCAAGCACTGGACAGCATACTGCTAAGTGACCACCCTTTTTGCAGTAATTGCAGGGATGTGCGGGACAGTCATGTGATGATGAACTGTGCTGACTAATCAATGGATAGTGTGTAAATAGCAAGTTGTTCTATCTAATTCAGTGCGAAAGCAGCGCGTACTTATACATACAAAGTCGATATATGAAGCGCAGTAGCGTGAAACGCAAATACCAAAAATACATGCGTGGCTGATGCAAAACGCGTATCAATTCTGTAACAAAACGCTGGTGACACACGTAGCAAAAATAAGCGCAGACCGTATTTTTGAGTTCAACATGTGATAACACAGAGGAGGCCGCAATCTTTGCAGCATTTTGTGATTACACTCCCATCTGATGTCCAAGACATATATGAATAGCTCTGCTGTTACTGAAAGCTGGTACTATGTGAGTGTCATAGCACTGGCAAGGAATAACGACAGACAACAGAGCTGTATGGGTTACTCGATACGAAGCCTCCAAGATAGTGAGAAGGGAAGAAGAGCCCTGAATGCGCAACGCCACATTTCGAATGAACGAAAGAGAGTCGCGCCCACATATAACCAGTGGCAAAGGGTGATGCAAGTCTACGGTGAATAAGTACAGGGCCTATAACTGATTCTGGTGGTTGCCGCTCTGTACAATCGGGGTTCCAGCCTAGACGTGGCATATCTTGCATGAGCATCCAAAGGATTTATTCAAACCTCCAAAGGCTTTTTTAGGGCTTCTCGTTTGACTTCCTGTGTGTATCGGTCTGAACTTCGTCTGGGGCACTGATGTCAGCTTTCACAAGCAGCTCGACGCTTTGATGTGAATGCACGCTATCCGCCAGAGATCTCACCTGGCCCAAGGATGACGAGAAATGCAAACCGCTCGAAAGTATAACAGGCCGCACCATCTGGCTGTTCCTGCTTACATATACTGCCTCCGCTCGGCTGTCCAACGTGTGCATTCGACCAAGAGGGGTCGAACTGCTCCGGGGACCTCACCGTCCACACAGGTCGGACTCAAATACGTAGATCCCATAAAGGGGATGTTTCACCCGCCCTCTGCCCGTTCGTATTTGTGCTACAATTTGAACAATACACTGGAAATGTATCTTGGATATAAGTTTTGACAGCTAAATGTTTCCAGATCTATGACTCCTAGACTGCGAAAAAATCTCATTCATTTCGTATACCTCTAGATTCATCCTCACATTAGAGGCTCACAACAGGATAAGCAGGAAGCTCTCAGCTCAATTGCCATTGCAGTTAGGCGAACTCTAAGCGCACTTTGATGGCTCTACTACCATTTTTCAAAGACGGCTTCCTTCTGCTAAGAGGTCAGCGGCGCTTTGAGAAGATTTGGCGAATTTAGCAGTAGATTTCTCTGCCGGAAGGCATCTGCATAGGGAATTTGAGAATGCCCGAGACAGTCCGGTACCCTCTTATGGCAATCACTATCGGATAATCGATCACTCTTCTTGATAAAGTAGCGGCAGGTACCCTAGCTTGCCCTTCAACGATTTTCAGAAGACGACCTTCTTCGATTCCGAAAACCTTTCGCCTTGATGATATGATCTGCGCGCCAGCTCATGGTTCCGGCCAGTGTTTTCTGGACCGCACAGTATCACCATGGCAAGAATGTAGACGCAGGACTGGAGGAATGGAATGCTGACTGCATTAACTCTTTTCAGGTCCCATGCAACGAACAGACACCACACGGATATGACAGCCGATAAGGACAAGAGATCTTTAACGACAGGCCAAATGGTCAGATCCGTACCCACCTGAAGGAGTTCTGCAGCGTGGTGCAGTGCAGCGAACACACGAACAACGCTCGAACCGAGCAGAAGCGTCATCTGGAAGCTCTTTTGATAAGGGACATCGACATCTGTAAAGACTGCGTCGATTCCCCTGGGTAAGTTTGTGATGAGTCGAAGCAACTTGCTGCCCATGTAAGAGGCCAGCAGAAGCGCTCGTATATCACTCTGATCGGAACTGCGCTAGGGTTTTCTGAACCTTTTTGGTGTCTTCAGAGCGCCCTCTTCACGAAGATCCCAGAGAATGCCCGCCAAGAAAGCAAATTCTTCAAGTGCAGAGAAGAAGCACATTTTTGTAAAAGCACTTCTCCAAGACCTGGTAGAGGTCCCCAAAACTGATGCACGGCCAGATTCTATCATTTGCATATCGTTGCACCACTACTAGTAGTAGTTCTTCTCCTGCACCAGGTTCTGTTTTGGGTACGACACCCTGGATCTTTTGGGCATTTTTGAAGCATAGCCAGTAGAATTAAACTCCCGATCCTTCACGCCCCCTCCTGAAAGCAGTGTATCCATTAAATCAAATGAAACCAAATCTTGACCCCTTTTGATTTGCTGACCCAATCCCAGAGGTCGATTTAATTTGATTTGTCTTGTTTTTCAAATGGAGTCAAATGTTAGCAAGTAATACTTATTTTGTCAAGAGGACTGGCTTTTCGTAAATTCATCTCACAACGAGAGTCTGCCAAGACTTTTTTTCCCATCATGAATATACATTTCCGCCAAGACTTTCAGTAGACTAATTTGTCAAGTTTCAAAGTCATGATTTGATTTGACGAAAGCACAGATTTAGTTTATTTGCTAAGCATTTGATTTGGTTTACTTAACTCAATTTGATTCAAATGGACACACTGGCGAGAATGGGCGCACCATTGGGAGCAAGACCAACACCAGCACCCAGTCGAGGAGTAACATCGGCGTGCTTCTCCAATACTAGCTCATATTGGAATCCACAAGCCTCTAGTATCAGAGTCCAACGATCCCTCCGCCAATGACCAAGACCTTGAACGGGGTTGCCATTGCGCTGAACACGATGGGCAGACCTTGAGTTTTCACTGCCTGCTTGTTCAAGTGACAGATAATACCCAGGACAGATACTTATCAGCCAATCTGCTGCTGATACTAGCGCAGGCCAAAAGTGACCGGCACTGCCTCCGAACAGTGACCATAAACCAACTACACATCGTACCCGACCTGCAAAAGAGCCCTGGTGACATCGTGTCATTTGCTGCACTACTAACCAGCGCTTGCATTCCATCGTGACGAGCTGCCCTAACGTCGTCAGGCAGCATGTGTCTGCACAAGTGATGGGCCATGTCGAGCCGGGGGAAATCTTTTTCTTGGCATGTATTCTCACCGGTCATACTTACTAAGTACTAGTGGCACTGTTTCACACGCACAACGTACAAGGGCGGGTAGCATATGTACTAAATTAGAAAGTCTATAGATCCTCATCCTTCTTTCCTCTCGTTATCACTATCTGTACCATCGGTACGTACAAATGGTACATTATACCATCAGTACAGATACTAGTAGTGATCCTGGTTGGAATGGTACGGTACAGACCCCTTGTACCGTCTTGTTGTGCTGTCTCCGAACGCTGGCCATCACTCCTTCAAGTCCCCCTGACTCCCAGCCGCAGCAAGGATCTCCTCCCTCCAAGCCCAACCCACAACCATCGCCGTCCCTGATCCTCCCAAAAGCGTAGTTATGCTTCCTACAGCTAGGATCCGAAGCCAACTCGTCTGTGTTCTCTTCGCTCTTTTGAGGTCCCGAACATGCAGCAGCACCCAGATCAAGCCACTGATGGACAAGACCATTCGTCCAAGATGGTAGGGTGATAGCAGCGTCTGGTCAAACTGCGAGAATAGGACTTGCAGTGTGGCTGCAGCTCCAGTGACCCGATTTCCCACCAAGGACGACATGTACCCGGTTATTGGCCTGGGCGCATGTGCCCATTCGTACAAGTGAGGTATACCGCTGGCTGCCGCAGCAAAGCCATATGCCCAGCGCAAGTAGGACAGATCCGCACGGGGGCTTTGAATGCGGTCACGAGCGGTGGTGTCGACGACGGTAGTCAATACTAGTATCCGCTGTGTTAGCATGACCCACAGTGGAGACAGCTGCCAGAACAGGGTGTACAGCGACAGTGCTTGATGGCTGATTTCATCCATAAGGGGCCAAGGGGAGCATGATCCTAAACGGGCGGCGTAAAGTATTGTTGGGACTAAGAATCCGAAGATGATCGAGACAACGATAGTTTTCGCGTAGCCCACGACAGTGAGACGATTGTCAGCAGCAGCGTAATTGCGGAGCGGTGACTGGACGTAGTGCAAGAAATGGAAGATCGGGATCATGGAGGCCAGCGAGTCTTTCCACAACGCAAAGGTCAAGAAAAAAGGCCATAGCGTGGAAATAGTAAAATAGTTGCCCCGGCGGATGCATTCAATGATGCCGATGACTTGAAGAGATATCAGGGCACCAAGAAATCCGAAGTCTTGCAAATATTGTGGCGCAGACATTGACGGACCAGGTGCGAGGCCGGCAACGGTGCAAAGGCCGAGGAGTGGAGCCGCACGGAACACACGCCACAGCATACTTTCTTTCTGTAGAGCAGTTTCGGGTGTCTGAAAAGGCATCGTTCCGCGCACGGATCTGGGAGGCACAGGTAGGAAGTCCAACTGGGGTGCCTGGATGAGAACTTGACAATGTACATCCACTAACATGTCGCCCATACGCGGCACGACTTGCATCTGCATAAACCGGTGCCAAGGTGTCTTGAGTGTTTCCAGTCGAGTAGTAATGGCAGCAGCATCGTAGACCTCCTGTGCCCGCTGATGTCGACGATCTTGGTAATCTGCAAGGGTAGATTCAACCTCTTTGAAGCCAGGACGACTTCGGCGATGACTCTGAGCCAATGCGTATAATCGATTCGTGAGTGCTGCAGCGCTTTCTATGGCAAAATTACCTCCCTGGCCACTGCAATTTCACTGTTAGCAAGATCACGACCCTGCTAGAGTAGATACAAGTAGAGGGAAAAGGGGAAAGGGAAAAGAAAGACCAACATGCTTGGCGTCATTTTATGTATCGAGTCTCCTAGACAAACGATCCGGCCATGTGTCCATCGACTGAACTGAGCCTCTTCCAGGGAGGCCAACGTCGCTGCAGTTCTTCTTTCCCACAAAGCTTGGAATTGGACGTCGTGTGAGACGTATCTATCCAAGAATGGTTTTATGAACTCGAGTTGGTCGGCTTCGACATATCGCGGAATATTTGGTGTGTGGTATATACGATCCAGTTTCTCGAAGACAAACCAGTAGCAGCAGTCGCTTTTGCCAACCACAGTGAGAAAGGACCAGTCTTTGTTGACGGCTCGATAGTGGTGTTTCTCTTCCAACCCAGGCACGCCAGAGGACATGCCGTAAAGGCATCTGTACTCCGCCGACATCGCTGGAGTAATGTGAGATTCTTTCTTTGGTTGTGGTGAACGTGCCATTGACTAGAACTCACCTTTCTTGTCTTTCGCCAGGGATTTGGCTAGCCCATCCATTTCGACATGCCGCCACATTTCCTGGCGGACTCTACTGTGTACGCCATCTGCACCAGCGACGACATCTCCAACAAACTGGGAGCCATCCGTACAGCTAACAATGATACCTTCAGCCTGCTGTACCACCGATGTGACTTTCTTCCCTGTGAGGACCTTACTACGGTCAGGCAGCTGAGTGTAAAGGCTTTTGAAAGCCTGCTGGCGCTCCAGAAAATTGATGGGATATCCTAGCCTGTAGCGTTGTCAGAAGCAATATCGTCATACCCAATCCTGACTTGAGTGCCTGAGGAGGTCTCCAGGGTTTCCATTCCAGTCCTTACCGTGTCTGAATCAGTGCCAGAGGATCGAGCTTCGATACTACATCTCCCTTGCCGGTGACCACCTCATGCCATACTGGCGGGTCGGTCCATTCTTCGATCTCGCCGTAAATGCCCAGCTGGTCGAGAATGCGAGCCCCGTTCGCGAATATGCCGATCGACGCACCCTGCTTCGGAGCGATGTCTTCTCGGGCTTCAAGCACGACGTAGTCAATGCCAGCGCGGTACAAGCAGTGAGCAAGCGTCAACCCCGCTACTGAGCCGCCGACAATGATGACTTTGAGAGCGTCCTCCTTCACCCATGGATCGGCAGCTACCATGGCGGCCAATATATTACTACCAGCAATGAATTGTGTACTGTGTGACAGTCTGCAGGAGATACGCAAAAAGCTAGTTGTTCTAATAAGCTAGAGGGGGGGGAAGCTGGCGACGATATCGGTATAAATTGGCTGTACGGCATAGCGAAGGGGTGCGCAAGTCGGTGGATGCTCTTCAAACCCTCCGTGTGTAACGTCGTACGCGGTTCTGTGCAAGATACGGTATTGTGCAACACCAAACTATTACATCGCAATTTGAGATACAGCCTCAACCAGCCATCGTTACGTGTGAAAGCTAATCTACGTCATAGGTTGCAGTGCCATTAGTTGGTGGCCAAGTCCCCTAAAGGCCAAGGAGTGAGTCCCCTGAAGAATCTGTGTCACACAAGTGACGTTGCCGCCAGCCGTTGAAGCGCCCTAGTTCAAGCTTGGCATCGGGATTGACTGCCAGAACATGACCAGGACTCGGGGTGTACGTAGTAGGTCGGTGTGTGTGCTCTTCAAACCCTCCGAGTGTGTATGACGCTTGAATCACATTTTGTCGGTCAAAAATATTATGAAGTTCCGAATACCCATACAGCTTCTCAAGCACTTTTCTCACGTACATATAACAATGTGTCAAAATGTATTTCTAATGTATTTATTCAAAGGCTTTGGACTTTAGCTTGGGAAAGCGAATTTTAGGTCAGAAAAGAAGACAAAGCAGTCATCCAACTCAGATGCAGAGAGATACGACCCAGTTGCCCTCTTCACACACTTCTACGGCGCTTTTGCGTTGGGTGGAGCAAGGGAAAAGGGCACGCCGGTGCCACAAACCTAACGAAACCCGGCGAGCTGAATGCCATAGTTACAACCATCATTAGTGAGATCCAACCAATTACGAACGGTGGCGAACGCTGAAGAGACAATAAGGGGAGGAAGATATAAAAGAGAGTGTCTCTTTGCGACCCTTCGTAAGAAGACGCGTCTACTCGGTATTGGTCACAAGCAATAGTTCCGAGCGGCTTGTAGATGTTCTTCCCGGAAGGTTTCTCCTATGGGTTGATAATGGCTCCCCCTTATGAGCTAGGTAGCTTGTTAGGCGTAAGAAGAATAATGATAATGTATTTACTCTATCTTACTTTATAAATAAGATAAAGTACGTATTAAATAGTCTTGACAAGTGATACAAGGACTCAGAAACTTCATAATAATTTGACTGACAGAGTGTGATTCAAGCGTCATAAACACGTAAGTTTTAAAGAGCACCCACCGACCTACAACCCGATGTCGGTCGAAATGTTATCTCCGATTCAAAATGCCGAGCGAGTTGTATTACTAAGAACTTAGGTATCAGAAACTCTATTGCTTGCTTCTGCAGGCTTTAGTAGAGGGCCCTATCCCACGCGCCGGTGGTGAATTTGCTTCCTTTTAGCGTGCCAAGAATTTTGGGTCTTGGCATGACTTTTTTTCCAATTTGGAGGATCAACGCCATCAAGGCCAACTTCTACATGGAATTACGCAGGTCACAACGCCAGCGAAAGCCTAAAACTATATAGGAAGAAAAGGGTGCTCCTTCTGCAGCTAGAGACCCCAAAATCACCAATAGAACTGACCGAACGGAGCAGAAAACGGCGCTCAAACCTGTTGCCAGTGGACCTCTTCCGAAAACGCTCGAAATTGACGCCAATCGACTCCCTGATCTCCCTGCTTATGAACCGCCATTGAAATTACGATTTGAGCGTTCAAATTCGCTTTTACAAGGTCTCTTGCAGCTTAATACGTTCCAAAAACTCCTTACGCCCTCTATTATTGACAGAATCGTTGAATTAACGAACAGCTATGCACAAAACGCTCGAAATACGGATTTTGAAGAAGAAGAAGATCCTGAATCCTTTTTCAGACCCTGGAAACTAGTTAATATAATCGATATTTAGTGATATATTAGCTATTTACTTTATATAGGATATCACAGATTATCCAAATACAAAGAACATTAGAGCGAGTCTGGCTATTTAGGTTAATTTATAAGCCTAGTAAGATATAAGCAGATTTATTAATATTTTATACTTCAAGATTATATAACTGCTCCTTATCAAGAGTATAAGACATTTGTTTAGCAAGTAGAGCTAATTAGGTCTATAGTTAAGCAAAGATCCTGAATCCTTTTTCAGACCCTGGAAACTAGTTAATATAATCGATATTTAGTGATATATTAGCTATTTACTTTATATAGGATATCACAGATTATCCAAATACAAAGAACATTAGAGCGAGTCTGGCTATTTAGGTTAATTTATAAGCCTAGTAAGATATAAGCAGATTTATTAATATTTTATACTTCAAGATTATATAACTGCTCCTTATCAAGAGTATAAGACATTTGTTTAGCAAGTAGAGCTAATTAGGTCTATAGTTAAGCAAAATTATAAGGAGAATTAGTATCCAAGCTCTTATTTAGTTATTAATAAGGCTATAATAGCCTATAGAGGCCATAGTACTTATAAGGTCAAGCTTCTAAATAAGCTAATTAAGGAGGGCTATGTTACGGCACAAAATGCCCTATGGCCTAGAGAGGCGTTAGGGCAGGGCATGGCATTGGCTAAGCATTGGCTGCGCGCCAAATGCTCCACCAGTGCTATGCCGCATCCGGTCTTAGGGCTGAGGGCTAGGGCAGGCTTGGCGCCCTGCGCGTCATACCTCTATCCTCGCCTCCATAGCACCTAGAGAGTCATCCATCTTCATACCAGTCAGTCATACAGTTGCCTTCTATAGCTTCTTCGTGACTCTCCGCTATCCCTATAACACCCCCATACCCTATTGCACGGCCTTCCGCGTAACAGGCTATAAGGTATAGGTACTTAGCAACGCTGGATACGTCTATAATTAGTTATAGCATAGCTGTATCAAAGGACTAGAGAATATCCCTTAAGAAGGCATTAAATTTAATCAAGTTATCAAAAAAGAGCTTACAAAGCTTACTATAATATATCTAGTACTAACGTTTGCCCTTATTATTCGCCTTACATAGTATTTGCATCAAATTTATTTAATATACGTTTTTTGCTTCTTTTTAGATAATCTTTTTCTGAATATTAATGTTGCTTAATTGCTACTTGCTCTTTATATTTATTATATAATATTAGGGCTCAACTAGTTAAGACAAGTCAATAAGGATCTTTATAGCTTCTTTATTAGTTATGTTGCTAGGCTTGCTTATAACGTCTTAGTAGCAGGCAGCTCTTTTCCTAATTGCTCTTGTACCTAAGGGTAATCCTTTATATAGTGTCCTAGTTTCTTGCAATAGTAGTATCTTACTATAGACATATTTCTCAGAAGTTGTGGCTTAGCTACTAGTCTCTCTTCCTTTACTATTAATTTGCTAGCAGATTAACAGGTGTTAGGAACTAAAGGTTTTATTAATATATTAACGCTAGCTACTAGTTTATTTAAGATAATATATTAACTATTTATATTAGCGTATATTAGGTTTATAATCATCTCCTAAATTAATGTATATCTACAGAGAATAATTACTTGCTTCAGATTATCTTAAATCTTGTCTTAAAGGTCTATAATCTGATCCTCTTCTTAGACTTCTGCTTTGTAAGAAAGCTGTCAGAAATCCCTTAAGAATGCAGTAAGGTCTTGCTGCTCTTATTATAAGTAATGATACTCCTTATAAATAGTCTTTTGTTAAAATAAAGAATTAAATCAAGTTAAAAGGTCTATAAATATATTAGAAATCTGAGTCTTTTTAAAGTTCTTGAAATATAACTTAAGCAATTCCTGAGCGTCGCCGCCTATATGTGATTATACATAAATGACCTTGGATAGCTCTGTCAAAAAGAGCGCCGCGTTAACTATAAACTTCATCTTTATAGCTGACAACCAAGAGCGAAACTTCTGAGGAGATCCATCCTCAAAGACCTCTAGATAAGGCAGCTTCTCAGTTTTCAGGCCAAGCACTATCGAAGGGCTTGGAGTTGCTTCTAACGAGACTTGCCTTTGAGGCAGCGATTCTCGTTCTGTCAGAGTTTCTGAAGGAGACTCCACCCGAACTTGCGGCTTTGGTATCACGGTAATCTTGTTGCGGAGGTTCTGAATGATCTCCTCCTTGTCACGGAGTCGATCCTTCAGAGCCTTAATCTCGATGCTGGTGCCTCCGTCAAGGTCTTGGTATCTTTCTTCCCAAGTTTCCTTCTCCTGGAGGACTTCTCGATGCTCGGCCTCCTTCTCCAGACGGAGGGCTTTTTCTTCCTTGTAAGCAGCTGCCAATGTTAGTACAAACGCCGCTGCGTGTGTCTGATTCTCGTTGACCAGCGCTTCTGGCCTTATAGATACTCTGTCGGATCCTCTGCGTAAGTTAACTAGTAACACCCCTTATGTTTAATAGAGGAGTATATAGAGTAGAGCGCTGGTCTATTTGATCACGAACCATCTTGACTCGATAGTT